AATTTTTAAAAAAGTAACTTTTTATATCTAGATGTCTAAATTTTAATTGGACTATTGGATCATGTCCAAATTTCTCTCATTAGTTAGCTTATGAAATAAGCTTCGTGTGAATGCTTAAATCACTTCAATCAAACGTCATATGTAGAAACAGTGCACGCCGGAAGTTTGCCCTGCAAATTGTCAAATAACAATTGCAAAAACTGTCATGTGTACTGTGGTGCATGACATGCTTACGCCGTGGTACATGACACAGAGAAGAGCTGCTCATGACTCTATGCCACATGCTGTAGCACATGTGGTCCACACTATAATGCATGGCTGAAGTTTTAACTTTATTTCTTAGTTTTGAAAGCATACATGGACTCTAATAGATGCATATGTTTCATTTCACAGTACTATACTCTATTTGGTGTTGATTCAGTTAAAAATTATGATGATTTTGAAAATTGAGTTTTGAACCCAAAATTTTTCATCATGCAGCTACACAATTATGTTAACATTTCTTTATCATATAACTTTAATTACAAATACCATTAATAAATATTTATTATTTTTAGAAAACCCTTTATTTTTCCTAATTACAAGTTCTAAATCATCTAACATGTAATATCATATTTAATTTTTAAAAAACACTTGCAAGCAATTAAACAAGCTAATAAAAAGAATGAATTATCCAATTGTCTCAACCTTTCTGTTACAAAATGGGTTACCTATGGTACTTTTAGTTCTTTCAACTAACAATTGCTCAAATAAGTCAATCTATAATATTAAGTATTGTATCTCAATTCCAAATTGAACATAAGTAATTATCAATACAATTAAACTAGCTTAAGCTTCTAATCCCTTCAATTAGACACTCTTAAGTCCTATCGACCTTTCACAAACTTCCTACCACTTTCACTAACCTCATTAGCTTCAATAGAAGATTCTTCATAATTCAAACCTCTCTCCTTGAGGCTAAAGTTGAACTAAAGCCTCAAAACTCTATCATCAACTACCAAATTATTTACAAATCTTTAATTTAATTTCCAATAACCTTGTAACGGCCATTGGATCAAATAAAACCCTTCCATAAACTTAGAACCTAATTTCTTCACCTCTTAAACCAAGAGAAAATGAAGTGGATAGGAAGACAAAAGAGGTATAAGGCTTACCCAGAAAATGATAGGTCGAAGATGACTCCCAAGTGTCCAAGACCTTATGTCCTCGCAGAGCCTCCTCTTTTTCTTACTTCTCTGTCATGTTTTCCCTTTTTCCTTCCCACAATCATGAGTTGATCCCTCTATAAAAAGTTAAATTTCTATTCATGTGCAGCGGCTAATTGTACCATGATGATGAAATAAAAAATGTTAGTTAATAAATTATAGAGTACATATTGATCTTTTTAAGTTTAGTTGTGTTTGTGATTAGTTAATTAGTGAGTGAATGGTCAAATAAATGAACTAATTTATGATGAAACATGGAAGGACCAAGAATTTACATTATTCATATTAGTTTAGCTATATCACATTCATAAAAATAATTTTGTATAAAGTTTAGCAATACAATAATATGTGAAAATAGATTATAGCATATATAGAGAAAAAATAAGTTAAAAAAAAGATTTGGCTTCTGCCCCTACTTTCCCTCCTTTGCACCATCATGACAAAATTAGGATTATTTAGATTAAATTTGAATAGTTTGGATTTAAAATTTTTTAGGCTTGTGGCATAGTGAGGTATTTCTCACTCCAGCTTTCCCACTCTATCCTAAACTGCACCACATCCATCCCATCTTAATCATGCAACTGTCCAAGGACCCAATGTAATATCCACCTTGACATTACCAAAATTCACTACACAATCATAACAAACACTCATAATTAGGAGCAAAGATTGCTCCTAAGCTCACATTATCCATATAAGGGTTAAAACTAATAATCTTTTAAAAATAATTGTGGAATAATTAGGATCCCATAAAAACCCTTTAAATTGACAGTTTGAGCCCAAACTTAATGATTTATAAAGATATTAGAAGCATAGAAAACTTTTGGGAAGCAAAATACTTCAAAAAAGGGTCAAAAATGTCATTTTCGAGTGTTTTGGTCTATACACCATGGCTCGTGGTCTATGCGCTATGGCATGTGGCACAGAAAGTCAAGTTTCCTCACTATACCATGCGTCGTGGTGCACGTGTCCATGACAGCAATGCTGTCATGATAGCTTTTCTGGACAAACTTCGAAAGCGCGCCATTTTCGCATCCGATGTCCTATTGGAGTGATTCAAGTGCCCACACGAAGCTTATTCAATAAGATAACTAATGGTATAAGTTTCATTATGATCTAACACTGTATGAGAATTTTAAACACTCAGATGCAAAAGTTAATTTTTAAAATGATTTTCAAATATCCAAGTACCCAAAACTCATAACTTATACCATTAACCCATTGTGAGGCTTGAACTAAGTCCAATGGACCAAAATATACTTGAGTGACCTATCAAACACACAAAAACATACCAAACACAAAACTTGGCCACTTAATGGCCATTTTGCCTAATATGGCCAAAATGCACAATCAACATTACATGCGCTATTTGGCCTCTATTACCACATAATACACTACAATTACATTGTCACCACATAGATAAAATATTCCTTGCACTTGTATTAGTATTTTAGCCCATCACCATAAAAATTCCCACATATTCACATCATATACAATATTGGGCTAAAATATGCCACAACATAGTATGAAACAAGTGCAACCAATCAAAATGATATGCATTCCTAGTTGGCAACATATAATATCATATAACAAGTTTATGTACACCACTCAAATCAAAATTAGGCATTACTATCTGTGATGTAGTAAATCTACTAGTCCTTGCCTAATTCCTTTTCCTGCCCAGTCTTAGAGGTAGAACCTACAAAATGATAACTATAGGGTGAGATAAAAATCTCAGTAACTAAGATAATCTACATTATTGATTAATAAGCCAAGTTAGAAAAAAAGCATTAAAATAAGTAACATAATCACATCATATAAGATCACCACAAATTGCATGCATGATCCCTAACCATCCAGTCCTCCAATACTCCCGACCAAACCAGTAGGCTATTTAACAGAACCAAACCACATGTATGGTCCCCAAGCTGACCATCCATGGTAAGACTACCTAGCCAAGGTGTCCTAAACTACTTCTGAACTACTGTCTCCCCCTATTATAAATAATTGGGGTGTCGTTACTCTAACACTGCATCCTACAGATGCTAAGCAGCATAGTCTCCAACTCTGCACCCTTTTAGGTACTAAGGAGAGTAAGTGTTCAACACCGTACCCATTTTTGGGCACTAAGGAGAGTAAGTGCTGCACTTGGCGTCCCGAGGTGCCAGCAATGCCATATGGACTTAATCTTTACTATCTCTACTAGGGTGACCTGCCACCCTCTAATATCCCACATTTCACTACATATCTCCACTTGACCATGTATAAACAACTTTCCAAACAAATATAACAAAATCTTACCATTTACTTAAAAAATATAGAATTTCATAAAGCAATACTCCATTCATTTTCTACAATAGTTAACCTTTAAAGAATTTATACATATATACTTAACAATTCATAGAAAAGCAACTTGAGAATAACTTATATAAGATAATAAATAATGAAAATTATCTAGTTACCCCAACCCTTTTGTTACTAAAAGGGTTACCCGTGGTACTGATTCTCTTCTTGTGTTAAGGTAAGTCTTCCCACACTACAATCTACAACAACAAGTACTATATATTAATTTTTAATTAACACAAGCACTATTAACTACCAATAACCTCCCAATTCTCCCACTTCTCACTCAAATTCTCAACAAATAAGCTTGTGAAGATTACAATTTATTCACACAATCCCTTTAAGCCTCCTTCTACTCTATCATAACATAAAACTTAATATCTTAACTTATCACACTTCAACACCCTATGATCAAGTCAGGGCTTAATCCAAAATTTACCAAACAAGAAAGTAGCTTCCTATTACCACATATCCAAAATCAATAAATCTAAATTAAACCTTTATAGTCAATAGAAACCTTCAAAACATTGACTCGTAGCTTAATCCAATCAGACCAAATTCTCACTCTTCCAAATCCCATGGAAAATGAGATGAAAAGGTAGAGGAGAAGGGTAGAAAACTTACTTAAGAGTTTAAAGCTTTATTTGTCTTTAAAATCCTCTAAAATGATGCCCTAGTAGTGTTCAAAGTTTCCCCCTTCATGCTCTAGGTTTTCCTCCCCAAAATCTGTCAATTTTTGATGATTTGTGAAATTTTAAGTTGCCTGCTGTGCTGTGCGTTGCAGCGCATGCCACGTAAGCCATGACTCATGATGCAACGAGCAAAATATTGATTTTTCTCCCCTCGATACCACCTGACTTGATTCGAATTTCATCCTATCTCAATTTAAAGCCAAATATGACCCAAAAATCCAATTAGCAGCCTAAAAACATAATTAAATAAATTAGTCATATTTTTAACTAATTTATCCCTTAATGAATCAATTTTTCTAAATTTGAATATCAGTTTCTCAAGTTATGAGATTTGGTTGTGGTGATGTGTCTATTGCATTCATTCTCATTAGTTGGCAACTTTATGTACACAACTCTTTTCCTTTGTCTCATTTCCTTTATTTCCCACTAATTCCCCTTTTCTACTTGATTTCTTCCTTAGGAGGGGAGAAAAATGGTTAGAAGAAGTACTCAAAATGCTGGTAATTTACTAGAGAATAATGGACTTATACTAGAGGTACAGCTAGAGATATAAGTGGAATAACAACAAAGGCCCCAGGGTAATAATGCAATTCTAAAGGAAGTGTGAGATATGATGAGGAATATTCAGAGAACTGTTTAAGATCACAATGTTCTTCTCCGTAATAGAGGTTGTGAGAAGGAAGAAAGGAGACAAGAGGAAGCTCATGAGAATAGATTAGAATAATCTCATGGTTCTGGTAGTAGACCTGGATCGTCTAGGATGAGAGTGGGTGGAGATGTTCAAAGGATGGCTATTGATCTGGTATGGAGGACTTTCTCTCGGTTTAACCCTCCAGCCTTTAATGGAACTATAAAGGAAGGAGAAGTAGAGAAATGGATAGAGAGAGTTGAGACCATCTTTGAGGTGGTACTATGTTCTACAAAATAGAAGGTGATTATAGCCACAGTATATCTTATTAAAGATGCTAAACACTGGTGGAATTCCACAAGACCAGTAGATGGACGCCAGCTAATGTGGGAACAATTCAAGGAAATATTCTTTGATCATCATTTTCCTCCAGCATTTAGAGATGAGAAAGAGGCTGAGTTTCATGCAGTTTGGCAGGGAGATCTTGACGAGGAAGCATTTATCCAGAAGTTTAATCAGCTATCAAAATTTGCTACTTATTTGAATAAGACCAATGATAGTAAGTGGAAGGCTAAGAGGCTTTTAGAAAAGATGAGGACTAAATATAGATAACAAATTACTCTATTAGGAGTAATCACATATGGTGACATGGGTAATCGACTCTAAATTGTAGCAAGAAGGGGTTGCGAAGTAGAAGCAGAAAAGAGACGAGATAGTCATAAGAGGTTCTCGTCCTCCCTAGACCCTTTTAGAAGAGTCTCTAAGAAGACGGGTTATGGCCAGAGTAGTTCTGCAGCACCAGGCAAGAAGAGTTTTGTTAGAGAATCACAGACTCGAGGAACATTTTAGAGGGGTGGATTTAGGAGTTCTAGTGTTCCACAACTATCTCTATAGGCTTCTAATATGCCTACCCCAACCTTAAGTACAGCTCGACCACCACCGTCTACTAAGTATAGGTGGTCACATCCTGGGAGGTGCTGGGCATGTTTTAAATGTGGGAAACCTGGCCATTTAGCAAGACAATGTCCTAAGGGAAGAGTGGAGATGGAAGGGCTGAGAACTACCATTTCAGGACGAGTCAACACACTATCTCAAGAGGAGGCAAGAGCATCACCAAACTTGATAAAAGGTATTATTTCTATTTGCAAGCAAAAAATTGAAGCATTGTTTGATTCCGATACTATACATTCATTTATTTCATATGAATGTGTAGAAAGGTTAGGACTTCCTTTGCATGAATTGACTTATGTGATTAAAGTGTCTACACCATCTGGGTCATCTAATATGACCAGTAAAGCATGTTTGAATATAGAAGTGAGGTTTGAAAATCATTCAACCACTCTAGATTTGATCTAAATTCCTATGAAGGTTTTGGACATGATTATCAATATAAATTAGTTGATGGCAAATAATGCCACCTTGGAGTGTGCTAGGAAGATAGTTTTCTTACTGGTACATACTATATCGGCTAATATTCCTAGCGAGTCTATGTTCTTATCAGTGGTGCAAGTAGAGAAACTGATGCAATAAGGGTGTATGGCTTATATGGTTTTCTTCTCAGTACATAAGGTCTATGATGGAAATATTAATAAGATTGGGGTAGTGAATGAATTCCCTGAGGTATTTAAGGATGATATGTCTGGTTTACCTCCAGAAAGGGAAGTGGAATTCACCATAGACCTAGTGCCAGGAACTGAACCAATCTCAAAGGCACCATACCGGATGTCACCAATAGAGTTAGCTGAGTTGAAGAAGCAGATAGAGGAGTTACTTGAAAAAGGATTTATTAGACCTAGTGTGTCACCTTGGGGATCACCTATGCTATTGTTAAGAAGAAGGACGGTAGCTTACGGCTCTGTATTGATTATAGACAGTTGAATAAGGTGACGGTAAAGAACAAATATCCTTTACTAAGGATTGATGATTGGTTAGATCAATTGGTGGGAGCTTCGGTGTTCTAAAAAATTGACCTGAGGTCAGGATACCATCAATTGAGAGTGCACTTAGAGGATGTGCTCAAGACAGCTTTCCGTACTAAATATAGGCATTATGAGTTCCTGGTCATGCCATTTAAGTTAACAAATACGCCTATAGTTTTCATAGACTACATGAACCACATATTTAGGCCTTACCTGGATCAATTTGTAGTGTTATTTATTGATGACATTTTGATATATTCTGAAAATAAGGAGTAGCATGCGAAGTAATTGAGGATTATGCTATAAATTTTGAAGGACAATAAGCTCTATGCCAAGCTGAGCAAGTGTGAGTTTTGGCTACGAGAGGTTCAATTTCTATGACATGTTGTGTCGGTGGAAGGGATTATGGTGGATCCGCATAAAGTGGACGCAGTGTTGAAATAGGAAAGACCTAGTTCTGTGACTAAAATACAGTATTTTTTAGGATTGCTGGATATTATCATAGATTTATTTAGGGTTTCTCTTAGATAGCTTCATCATTGATTAGGTTGTCCTGAAAAGATCAGCCGTTCATTTGGGATGACAAGTGCGAGATCGCATTTCAAAAGTTGAAGGAGAAACTAACTATGGCACTGGTGTTGATTATTCCTAATCCACGATTGCCATATAAAGTGTATATAGATACATCTCTAAAGGGTCTAGGATGTGTGTTGATGCAAGATGAGCGGGTAATGGCTTATACCTCTAGACAGCTCAGGCCACATGAAGAAAATTACCCTACCCATGACTTAGAGCTTACTGCAGTTGTGTTTGCACTAAAGATTTGGCAGCATTATTTGTATGGAGCAGTGTTCAATGTTTTCAATGATCATAAGAGCCTGAAATATTTAGTGGATCAGAAGGAACTTAATATGAGACAAAGAAGGTGGATAGAGTTCTTAAAGGACTATAGCTTCGAAATTAAATACCATCCAGGGAAAGCAAATGTGGTTGCAGATGCATTAAGTCGAAAGTTATTGCATGTCGCTTATCTAATAGTGCAAGAGCACAAATTGCTAGAATCCTACTTAGATATTCAGCATGACTTACTAGAATTTACTTTGTGTAGCCTACATTCCATAGAAATTACCAATGAGTTTTAGAGAGAGAGTTAAGGACAGCACAGCTTGAGGATAAGTATCTGTTGAAAATTTGAGAAAATGTGGAGGAAAGGTGAACCACAGACTTTGGTTTCAGTGATGATGGATATGTTGTATATCGAGATCGGGTTTGTGTACTAAATGAGGGTGATTTAAGAAAGAAAATTTTAAATGAGCCATATAAGAGTAGATATACAATTCACCCTGAAGCAATTAAGATGTACCAAGATATGAAGTGATATTGATGGTGGCCTGGAATGAAAAAGGATGTTACAGATTTTGTATCTTGATGTTTAATTTATCAAAAGGTTAAAATCGAGCATTAGAGGCCAGCAAGAACTTTACAACTACTAGAGATACCGAAGTAGAAGTGGGATAGTATATCTATAGATTTCATTTCAGGATTACTAAGAACCCAATCCAGTCATGATTCATTTCTTGGTAGTGCGAATAAGTGATTCATTAGAGAAGTTGGCAAAGATCTACATTCGAGAAGTTGTGAGATTGCATAGGGTACCAAAAGACATTGTCTCTCATCGTGACCTAAGGTTCACCTCAAATTTTTGGAAAGTGTTGCAGAGAGTAATAGGTACTGAATTAAGATTCAACATAGTGTATCATCAACAGATTGATGGACAGACAGAAAGGACTATACAGACTCTAGAGGACATGTTGAGAGCTTATGCCTTGGAACTGAGAGGCAATTGGGATAGCCACCTTCCTTTAGCGGAGTTTGCCTACAATAATAGTTTCTACTTCAGTATAGGGTTGGCTCCCTATGAGGCACTATATAGATGAAAATGTCGATCTCCTCTTTGTTGGGTTGAACTGAGTGAGAGAAGCATTATGGGTCCTGATATTATGGATCAAATGATGAAAAAGATTCAAATGATAAGGCAAAAACTTCTAACGACTCAGAATAGGCAGAAGAGTTATGCGGATAAACGATGAAGGCTGTTAGAGTTTGTAGTTGGTGACCATGTTTTTCTAAGAGTTTTACCTGTGACGGGAATTGAGAGGTCAATCAGAACAAAGAAATTATCTCCTCGATTCATGGGTCCATTTGAGATCCTCAGGAAAGTTAGGCCGGTTGCCTACCAAATCACCTTACCACCACAATTATCTAGGATTCATGATGTTTTTCATGTTTCTCAATTGAAGTAATATCAACCTGATCCATCTCATGTGATTGAACCCGAAGAGGTAGAGCTACAAGAGAATATGACGTATCGAGTAGAGCCAGAATGAATAGTACATGTTAAAGATAAGCAATTGCAGAACAAGACTATTTGACTGGTTAAGGTGGTATGGAAAGGAATAGCTCCTGGTGATGCTACCTGGGAGACAGAGGACAAAATGAAGCAGCAATATCCTTATCTATCCTTAAGTATGTGTTGTGGTTGTTCTTAAATTTCAGGGGCAAAATTCCTTTAAAGGAAGGGAGAACTGTAACATCCTAAAACTTCAAATATGAAAAAATTGATTAATTAAGGGATAAATTAGTTAAAAATATGATTAATTTATTTAATTATGTTTTTGAGTTGCTAATTGAATTTTTGGGTCATATTTGGCTCTAAATTGAGATAGGATGAAATTTGGATCAAGTTGGGTGGCATTGGGGGGAGCAAAATCAACATTTTGCTCACTGCATTATGAGCCAAGGCTTGCGTGGCATGCGCTGCGGTGTACGGTACAGCAGGCAACTTAAAATTTCACAAATCATCAGAAATTGACAGATTTTGGGGTGGAAAACCTAGAGCATAAAGGGCACAACTTTGGGCACTACTATGGCATCATTTTGGGAGGATTTTGAAGATAAATTGAGCCTTCAAACTCTTGAGTTAGTTTCCTACCGTTCTCCTCTACCTTTTCATCTCATTTTCCATAGGATTTGGAAGAGTGAGAATTTGGTCTGATTGGATTAAGCTATGAGTCAATGTTTTGAAGGTTTCTATTGACTATAAAGGTTTAATTTAGATTTATTGGTCTTAGATATATGGTAATAGGAAGCTACTTTCTTGTTTGATGAATTTTGGATCAAGCCCTAACTTGATCATAGGGTGTTGAAGTGTGATAAGTTGAGATATTAAGTTTTATATTGTGATACAGTAGAAGGAAGTTTAAAGGGATTGTATGAACAAATTCTAATCTTAACAAGCTTCTTTGTTGAGAATATGAGTGAGAAGTGGGAGAATTGGGAGGTTATTATTAGCTAATAGTGCTTGTGTTAATTGAAAATTAACATGTAGTACTTGTTGATGTAGATTGTAGAGTGGGAAGACTTACTTTCACACAAGAGGAGAATTAGTACCACGGGTAACCCTTTTAGTAACAAAAGGGTTAAGGTAACTAGATAATTTACATTGTTTATTACCTTCTATAAGTTACTCTCAAGTTGCTTTTCTATGAATTGTTGAGTATATATGTATAAATTCTTTAAAGGTTAACTATTTTAGACAATGAGTGGAGTATTGCTTTGTGAAATTCTATATTTTTGAAGTAAATGGTAAATTTTTTTGGTCAAAAAAAAAGTAGATGGTAAAATTTTGTTATATTTATTTGGAAAGTTATTTATGCATGGTCAAATGGAGATATGTAGTGAAATGTGGCATATTAGAGGGTATGGAGATAGTGAAGATTAAGTCCATATGATATTGCTGGCACCTCGGGACGCTAGGTGCAGTACTTACTCTCCTTAGTGCCCAAAAATGGGTGCGGTGTTGGAGACTTACTCTCTTTAGTACCCAAAAGGCTATGGAGTTGGAGACTATGCTTCTTAGTATCTGTAGGATGCGGTGTTGGAGTAATGACACCCCAATTACCTGTAATAAGGGAGAAACAGTAGTCTAGAAGTGGTTTAGAACACCTTGGCCAGGTAGTCCTACCATAGATGGTGAGCTTAGGGACCATACATGTTGTTTGGTTCTGTGAAATAGCCTACTGGTTCAGTCAGGAGTATTGAAGGATCGGATGGCTAGGGATCATGCATGCAATTTGTGTTGATCTTATATGATGTGATTATATTACTTATTTTAATGCTTTTTTCTAACTTGGCTTGTTAATCAATAATGTAGATTATCTTAGTTACTGAGATTTTTATCTCACCCCATGGTTATCATTTTACAGGTTCTACCTCTGAGACTGGGTAGGGAAAGGAATCGAGCAAGGACTAGTAGATTTACTACATCACGAATAGTAATGCCCAATTTTGGTTTGAGTGGTGTACATAAACTTGTTATATGATATTATATGTTGCCAACTAGGAATACATATCATTTTGATTGGTTGCACTTGTTTCATACTATGTTGTGGCATATTTTAGCCCAATATTATATATGATGTGAATATGTGGGAATTTTTATGGTGATGGGCTAAAATACTAATACAAGTGCAAGGAATGTTTTATCTATATGGTGACAATGTAATTGTAGTGTATTATGTGGTAATAGAGGCCAAATAGCGTATGTAGTGTTGATTGTGCATTTTGGCCATATTGGGCAAAATAGCCATTGAGTGGCCAAGTTTTGTGTTTGGTATGTTTTTGTGTGTTTGATTGGTCACTCAAGTGTATTTTGGTTCATTAGACTTGGTTCAAGCATCATAATAGGTTAATGGTATAAGTTATGAGTTTTGAGTACTTGGATGCTAGAAAAACATTTCAAAAACTAACTTTTACAT